CTTGCTGTAATTGCTCATTAGTGCAAGATTTGTTGTTGATTCTTTCATATTTTTAAATAGATGATCATGCAATCTGCAAACAAAGATAGTTTTATGTCTTTCTTTTCATTCTGTATATACTTTATTTCCTTTTTGAAAAGTTATTTTTCACTTATTCCTTCTTTAGTGCTCTTCCTTTATGTAGTTCAAAATTTCTGACGTATATATTTTCCTTTTCTGTAAAGAACTTCTTGTAACATTTCTTGCAAGGCAGGTCTGTTGGCAAATGCCCTCAATTTTTGTTTGTCTGGGAAAGTCTATTTCTCCTTTACTTGTGAAGGGTAATTTCACAGGGTGCAGAATTTCTTTTTCTCTCAACACTTTAAATATATCACCACTCTCTTCTTGCTTGCATGATTTTTGAGATGTTGAATTTCATTCTTATCTTATTCCTCTACAAGTGTTTTTTTTTTGTTGTTTTGGTTTTTTATATTTTTCCTCTGCTTATTTCAGGGAATTACCTTTGTTCTTGAGTTTCTGTAGTTAAGGTATAGTGTTTTGTTTTATTTGTTTGTTTGGTTATTTATCCTGCTTGATGTTCTCTGAGATTTCTCAATATGTGGTTTGGTGCCTGACATTAATTTGGAGAAATCTCACTCATTATGGTTTTAAATATTTATTCTGTTCTTTTCTTTCTTCTTCTGCTGCTATTCCCATCACACATGTGTTAAACCTTTTATAGTTATCTCATAGCCCTTGGATATGTATTTTTTTAGTCTTTGTTCTCTTTGCTTTTCAATTTTCAAGAATTCTATTGACATATCCTCTAGCTCAGAGATTCTTTCCTCAGCCATGTCCAGCCTACCAATAAGTTCATCCAAGGCATTCTTCATTTCTGTTACAATATTTTTTTATCTCTAGCATTTCATTTTTGTTCTTAGGATTTCCATCGCTCTGCTTACATTGCCCATCTGCTCTTGACTGCTGTTTACTTTATCCATCAGAGCCCTTAGCATGTTAATCATCGTTATTTTAAATTCCTGTTCGGATAATTCCAACATCCCTGCAATTTCTGTTTCTAACGCTTGCTCTGTCTCTTCAAACTGTGTTTTTTTGCCTTTTGATATGTCTTGTAATTTTTTTCTTGATAGCCAGACATGATATATTGGGGGAAAAGGGGACTGCTATAAATAGGCCTTTAGTAATGCAGTGGTGAGATGATCAGGTCTCAGTCTTCTGGTGAGCCTGTGCTTCTGGTCTGTGAATTTTACAACTGTTTTTAAGTTTGTTTTTGTTTGTTTGTTTTTTTGTTTCTCCTCCTTCAGGTGCAACAGGATGGCTGGAGTGTGCTGGAGCTGGGTATTTCCTTTCTGACACATGGAACACTTGAGTTGGGTGGAATTGGATATTTTCCTTGCCCAGTCAGTTAGGCCTTGATAATAATACCCCAGCCTGTTAGGGTTTGGTTAACTAAGTTTCCCCGGAGGGTGAGCCTTATTAAGAACAGTGTTCTTGTGTATTTCAAAATGATTCCTTTCCCTCCACCTGCTGGAAGCCCAAGGGATTTTTTTTTTTCCTGATATTTACTATGGGAATCTGGTCAAGCTCCTGGAGGTAAGTCTCACAATATTGTAGGAGCTCTTCATGACTGGGTCCCTTTGTTTTTAACTCTAAGAATCATCCACACTGAGCTTGCAACAATTTATCAATTACAGTTCAGGTTTTCCTACCCCAGCACTGGTTCCCACCCTGGTTTCTGCTCAATGTGTCTTCTGCTCTGGTAAATTGTGTCACCCTTTATTCACCTTCTTCTCCAAACTGGACCTCATAGATCCAGGAAGAGTTGATTTTTCAGTCTAACACTTTTCTTGTTGCAAGGATGGAGTGGCAACTTCTACACAAGCTTATTACATGCAGGATTGGAAACTAAAAGTGGATTATTTTTTTAAATACAAATACCCAAACACATATCATGTTCAATTAGTCAGTCCCTTCTAAGGATGAGTTCTAGGAACATACACTTTAACCAGCTTTCCAAGTGTATTTTACACACACAGAAGTATGAAAATAGCTGGAATAAATGAATACTGGGAAAAAAATGGAAACACTTCTCAGATAAAGTAATTTCATCTGATTCTGTAGCACATTTTCTTCCCAGTTAAACATATTAGCTTAAAAAAAATCTGTACAAAAGTACAATAATTTAGTGTAAAATACAACAACTATAAAAATAACCAGACTCCCAAATAATGTAATACTACTCTTATTATTACATTTTGGCCAGGTAGAAAGATTCTACATAGCATTTGAATTCTGAAATTCTGGACTTGTGTACTGGCACTGAACTTCATACTGTATAAAGTTGGGAAAGTCACATAAACTTTGTTTATTTTTCCCTTTATAGCATAATAATACGAGTAATTCCTCTCTCACTGATGTTAAAAACCTGAGGTATATATCAAAATACTTAATAAATGGAAAGGGTTATGCAAATACCAATGTGCTTAGCATCTAACATAAAATCCATTGACTGTTTGCATTTTCAAATCTCATTTCTAGCTATTTCCCTTCTTACTCTGTAATAGGTCCCAGATCATTCTTTTACTTCCCTCAATAAACTAGGCTTACTCTTGGAATTTGATTTATGTGCTCTTTCTTTCTCCTCTTCAATGCTATTTTCTATAGATACAGAGCACACATGCCACACAACACATGACACACTTGGCTCACACACATCACAGACACATGTCCAGGGCACTGAAGCAGATATATATGCCTCATGACTTGCTAATCATCCTGTAGATTTTATTACCTCAATTATCACTTTCCCAAATAAGGCTTTTTTGGGACATCCAGGGTCCTCTCAAAGATCTCTGCTTTTCTTTCATGGTGTGTATGAGTTAGGTATTTATACGTTAGCTGAGTAATGTGACTACTGTCCAGACTTCAGGTAGACTCGGAAGTCAATTAGAGCTGCCACCAGGTCAGTTTGTTCTCTCATTATCTTCCTAGTATCCAGCACAATATCTATACATAGTGACTGTTCAATAAATAGTGGTTCAAAAAATAAATGTCAGGATCAATATAATATTGCATCATCACAGTAGTACCCAATTCCATGGCAAAAAACCACAGATTTATAAAATAAAGATTCTTTCTGTTGCTAGTTCTATTTCAGATTTTTAAAGGGATAACAAAATAAACCCTACTCTACCGACTTGAACAAAATGAGAATTAAAAAACTAAAATGAATGAAAAAATATATAATTTTTTTGCCAAGAGTATTAAACACTTCAGAATTATTAGCAGGTTCTATCTTGAGGTCCCCAGTACCAACCTCAAATTCGGTGATTCACTGAAAGGACTTAAAAGGAATTAGCATACAGTCATACTGGTATTCATTACAGTGAAAAGTTAAGATTTATTATAGTGAAAGGATACAAAGCAAAATCAGCAAAGGGAAAAGGTACCTGAAAAAGTCTGAAGGAACTAGATGCAAGCTTCTACCAGTGACTCCCAGTGGAGTCACTCAAGACTCACTTAATTCCTTCAGCAATGAGTTGAGACAACATTTGTGGAGTGACCAGCAAAAATCATTAAAGATTCGGTGTACAAGATTTGTACTGGGAGCTGGTCACATTGACACCCTCTGTTTAGCACACACCAAAATTCCAGACTCTCAGAAGAAAAGTAAGTGTTCAAACCACATTGTTTAGAGTTTAGGCACAGGAAGCCACTCTTACCAGTTACAAAATTGTGAGAACATTCCTGGAAATCTGAGTTCCCAAATACCAGTGAAGCCCCAACCTGAGAGCAGGCCTTTCTGAGGACAGCAGTCTCAGTGGCTACATTAACTAGTTTCCATGCAATTTCACTAAAGTCACTATCATCTGATAAATAAAAGTTGCAAGTCATGTTCTTTACTGGACTTTACTGACAAAGACAATGATATACCACAAAGAAAGAATAAATCGGAACCTGATTTACTTGACAAAGTGTTGAACTGTTTAAATTCATTCCTATGAGACCAAGCCTCCTATTCATGTAAGACAGCGGCTCTCAACCTTTCTAATGCCGTGACCCTTTAATACAGTTCCTCATGTTGTGATGACCCCCAACCATAAAATTATTTTTGTTGCTACTCTATAACTGTAATTTTGCTACTGTTATGAATCGTAATGTAGATATCTTTTTGTTTTCCGATGGTCTTAGGCGACTCCTGTGAAAGGGTCATTCGACCCCCAAAGGGGTCTCAACCCACAGGTTGAGAATTGCTGAATTATTTAGGAATCATGATAAACATTAAAATCTAATATGTTTAATGACTAACATATTGTAAAATCATGGAAATCAAGGACAAAGGCTTAAAAATAACACGAATGTTATTATGTGTGACATGCATTTATATGTATATGAGTAATATTTCTAGCTTTCAAGATAAAATGTAGAAACTCTCACCTTTAGTTTGAATTCTTGAGAGTAGTTATCAAGACTATACATTTAAAAGTAATTATATCATTTTAGTTGTAATCTTTATAAAGCAGTTTTAGAGAAATAAAATGCTACTTTATAGCCTATTTACTTCTGTAACTGTGTAATAAGAAACCTTTCAATGTGTTTTTCTCCCATATGTAGTACTGTCATTCACTTCATTCAATTAAAATCCTACTGACTATACAGAGATTGCAAAGCCCTGGACTGCATGTGATCTAGCATAGACACATCATCATATTAGCATAATAGTTTTTCTTTCAAAGAACTTTCCACCTTATGGTCAGACTCTAAATTTTTCTACTAAGATTAAAACTCTACCTGAAAAATGACTGGGTTCCTATAGGATAATGACAACCAACTAATAGTTTCTAAAAAGTATGCAGATCAACCCAAAGAACAAACAAAATTATTCAATGGCTATAGCAACATAGCTAGGATAAAAAGGATATCACAGAAGATAAAAGTATATATAAATGGAATAATTAACACCTGCAACCTCAGAAACCTATGCAAGCACAAGAAGTGAGGGGAAAACTGCAAAAGAAAAGAGGAGAAGAGAAATCCTGGCAGAGGTGGCACACAAGGGGGAAAAAAATCCTTCCTAGAAAAAAAGATCTAACCTGAAATGGAAAAGATTGAGAACATGTCTGAGGCTTGGTAGATAACAACAGTGGCCACTGGCCAGTATAAATGAAGAGGACTGGAAGTACACGGTAACAAACATGGCAGTCTTAAGAACGCATCACTTGTGGGGCATGAGAAAGAACTTAGAAAAGGCAGACTTTGGAGGCCCGGTGGTTCAATGGAAAGGGAGAAGGTCATCATGGGAAGTGCAGGACCTATGGAAACACAAAATTGTCTCTGAATCAAAAGACACTACAGGAAGGAAAGGAGGGAGGAAGAGAAGGAGGGAGGAAAGGAAGAAGGAAGAAAATCTCTGTGCTCAACCTATTCCACTTTATAAACAGAAAATGGTATTTGAATTAAAAAACTAGGCTACTTAAAAGTCTAACCATCACCTCCACATATTTCTGGTCTAGTAAAAAGAAATTTAAAGAAGACCAAATAACCAGCAGTATCCATAAAAGAAGAATTTCAAAAGAATCAAAATTCTACAGCTGATAATTTCACTAAAATGCAACCATGAAGAAGAAAAAAACAAAACACAATAGTCAACTTGAATTAAGTATAAATAAACAAG